AGAGCTCAGAGCAGCCCCTGACTCCCTTCTTCCTTTAGAGGGCACTCATTGAGGAATTCTCACGCCTTGGCCTCCACTTTGCTGTAAGAATTCCTACACCAGAGGTAGAAAGAGTGCTGGGCCACTTCCTGGCTGCTGAGTCTTGGGCTGAGTGCTTCACTTTCCCCCCAGACTTTAGTCTTCTCATCTGTAAGATGGAAAGAAATGGAAGTAATCATGCCCACCTCTTAGGGTGGTGAAGATTCTGATTTCACGCTTGGGAAAGCTCATGGCACCATCTTGGGTACTTGGTTAGGGATTAGGAGATATTTGTTTCTACGCCCAGCTAAATAGCTCAGTGACTTCCGAGAAAGACACATAAGGTAGCTGATAGTATCATGTAGAGGCCACCCCTCCTGGTTGCTGATGATGTTTTTGGAGTGTGTATTCACTCCTTTAATAACTACCCACTGAGCAGCTCCCAGGGCCCATGGCACGGTCTCAACACTGGGGACTGCAGAATGAATGGAGGTACGGCCCGCCCTTGACAAGACCCAGAGCCCCCCAGCCACTTCCTTCCATCAGGCTTCTTCACAGGGGTCCCTCTCCTACCCGCCCCTTCCCTCTCCAGGTTGATCGACATCGCCCGCAAGCTGGACAAGGCTGAGCGCGAGCCCCTGCTGCTGTGCGCTACCTACCTCAAGAAGCTGGACAGCCCCGGCTATGCTGCCGAGACCTACCTGAAGATGGGTGACCTCAAGTCCCTGGTGCAGCTGCACGTGGAGACCCAGCGCTGGGATGAGGTGAGAGGAAAGCAGGCCTCATGGGCTGGGGCCCCACCTGAGCCCTGGGACACATGGGCGGGTACAGGGACCCTTTGGGGTTTACGTGGAGAGAAGCTGCCCCCATGATGGAAGGAACACTGGGCTGGCAGTCAGGCAACTTAACCTCGAGTTCCCTGAGCCAGAGAATCATTGAGGGCCTTTCCACATGTTCCTTCCTTCAGTCATTGAGAAAATTGTTATTGACTGACACCTTTGTGCCAGCGAGGTGACAGGCAACAGGGATGAGTGTGAACGTGACAGCTCCAGTGCCTGCCATTGGGTTGAGCTGCCTCTGACCAGCGCCACAGGCTCAGACACATGGCTGATGTGGAGACACACCTGTGTGACATTTCAAACCTGCTGAGTGGCATTTTGGCAGAAAGCGCCATCTGTGCTTTCCAGATCCAGACTGCGAGAGCCATTTCAGGGGCCGGTTTTTTCCCTCCCTTCTCCATCTCTACCTCCCACAACCCACTACTTCTTTCTCTGGTGTTGGCGGGTGTGAAGAATTAGCCAGGCCAGTGAGAAAGGTGACCAGCCTGAGGCTGGCAGAAGCAGCTAATGCTGCCCCTTCTGTGGCTCGACCCATACTCTCCAGCTCACTAGCTCCCCGTGCCCTGCAGAGAAATCCATCCTCGAGAGGATTACAGGCTGTGCCAGGATCCTCCCCTGACTCACTCATCTACCCATCATGGTCCATTTTAGAGTGGAAGCAAAGCCTTCATTGGGAGGAGCCGTCTGACTCTTGTCTGCCCTCTGAATGGCTCCATTTGGTGAGGTGATGAGGTTACTGATGAGAAAAGGTGGGGCCAGGGACAGAGGCAATGGTGGCTTCTCAAGAGAAATTTATTAGGAGACTTCTCAAGCAGCATAGATTAGAGCACCTTAGAACGACTCAGACCTGGCTGTGCATCAGGCAGACTTTCTCCCCATGGCTCACGTCCGGTTCTCCTGGCCTGATAGGTGGTTCTGGGGCTTAGGTGAGAAGCAGTCAGTGGGTCCATACAGCATGAAGCCCACAGTCATCTTTGACAACTGATAAGAAGTGGTGATGATGATAATGTCAATCCTGTTTCCTTAGGTGTCGCCTGCAATTAAAAGAAATCTGTTTGCAGCACTACAGGAGCCCACGCAAACCTCAAAATAAAATGTTTCCGATTCTGTGCCGCCTCTGTGGTCCAGAAACAGACTGTGTTGTTACTGAATCCAGTCGCTTGCATATTGCTGTTAATTGCCTTTTGTTTTCGAAGAGCTGATTTGTTTTTGCGTTTCTGTGGGTAGTTTTTTGGGGGAGGCACTCTCCCCCTCTGAGTTGTAAGGCTGGCAAAATATGACATCTCTAATGAATTCAGCCAAGTGCAGTGTTTTCACGGGGGCTACAGGGGAAGCTTTATTAAGACTTCATTTGCTCCTTTCCCCAGGCCTTTGCTTTGGGTGAGAAGCATCCTGAGTTTAAGGATGACATCTACGTGCCCTATGCTCAGTGGCTAGCAGAGAACGATCGCTTTGAGGAAGCCCAGCAAGGTAGGCAACACAGACTGTCACCTTCTAGAAGGAGCAGGAGAAGTCACTGCCAAGACATACATTTCAGGAAGGCTACAAGCCCTTCCCATCTGTAGATCCCAAGATAGATGACTTCATCCTGGGGATGTGATTGTTTGGTGGTGAAAGACAGTGGAGCATGGAAAGACCATGGGCTTTGGAATCACACCCTCCTAAGCCACACTCACTTGCTACAGGCCCTTAAGGGGTGCTGCCTCCTCTCCAAGCCTCTGGTTACTGAGCAAAGTGCTGTGCACTACAGTGTATCTTCCCGTTTAATCCTCCCAATAGCCCTATGGTGTAGCTACCATCATTATGATTCCCATTCTGCAGATAAGAAAACTGAAGGGTAAAGTGGTGAAGAAATTTGCCTTAAGTTTCATAGCTAGGAAGTGACAGGAAGGTAATGGCGAGCCAGGGTGCCATGAGGACAAAAAGTCAGGACTGCCACACAGTATAAGGCATGGTCTCACCTCTACTTTCCTCTACCAAGAATAGAAACTCAGCTTCTATTTCTGGCTTAGATAAACAGGTGACCTCTGCTCCTCAAGATTTCCGTTGGTGAAATGGGCTGCATACAACATACAACAGCATCTGAAATAGGAACCAAAGCAAGCATAGAGCATTTGCTGATGTCGTTAATCATATTTTTTAAAGTTGACTGCCCTCTCTGTGTCAGACCCTGGCTGAGCACTTAACCTACATAACCTTGAATCTTGCCAACAGCCGTGCAGGGACGAAGAGACTAAATGTGCCATGCCAAGTCACAAATCTAGTCAGCAGCAGAGCCAGAATTGCACCAGTACCTCTCTGACTGGGGAACCTGATTTTTCTGTTCTGCTGCCTATTTAGCCTTCTAATTGAAGTTGGGTGTTTCATGTTCCATAGCATCTCATTTACACTTCTGGTAACAGTTGCCACCTCCGGACACATTGCAGAACAAATGTCTCCATGTTGGAGCTCCTCAACCAAAAGCCCTCACTGAAGGACAATGTATTCTCTGCTGCTTCAGCATTTCCAGAGTACCCAGTTGCTGAAGTATCTTCATGTTTGGGCAAAACACATCAACCTATCCATCTGTCTGTGTCTGCCCTTCCAAGAATCCATCACCATAGTAACTTGGTACTCAGACAAGAGACTGTAGATGAGAATGAAACAAAGGCCAGACCTTCTCCTTCTCTGAAGGCAGAGGATTAGTGTCATCTGAGTGCCCACACATGGCAAATGTCATGGCTACAAGTGCTTCACTGGCAGCCGCCAACCTCTCAAGGGGCTGACCACGTAGCAGGTACTCAGAAAATATCTGTTAAAAAGTATAGGAACATTTGAGTTTTTTTTTTTTTTTTTTTTTTTTTTTTTTACAAATGGTTGTAAGAACTGAGGCAGATCCTTCAAAGTGGTCATTGGAAAGCAGTCATTTGAAGACAAACAGGACTTGAGTTGGACTTGGCTCTGGGACCTTGGGTGTGACACTTTACCTCCATCTTGCAAAGCCCATTCATTGCTTATAAAAAGGGGGATAATTTTCTTTCTGTATAAGTCTGTGGCAAGGATCCAGTGAGGTGATTAGCAACAAAAGCATTTGGTAAACCTCCAAGTACAGTAAAGTGGCAGGTCCTCTTTGTGTCACCTTAGGAGTCACCAGACTTTGCCCTGGAATTTGGCCCCTCCAGTTTTTCCTTTCTGCCATCCTTTTCAAAGTCGGTCGCCTTTTCCCAGCCAAAAAGGAATATATCTCACTGTACTTTTTCCAGGATGTAGCCTTGGTTATTTAGAGAAGCGGCATCCCAGCAACGAAGCACTGCAGATGCTCCAGTGAGTGTCCTACTTCCAGAGCAGCCCATGCAAGACCCACAGAGCTCCATCCTGCCTCCTGTGTGCCTCCCTAAATTGCATGTGCTTTTGTCCTCTTCCCCACCCCTCCTACAGCATTCCACAAGGCTGGGCGACAGAGAGAAGCAGTCCAGGTGCTGGAGCAGCTCACAGACAATGCTGTGGCAGAGAGCAGGTTTAATGATGCTGCCTATTATTACTGGATGCTATCCATGCAGTGCCTCGATATAGCTCAAGGTGCGTAAACATCAGCCAGACCACTGTTTTCCCAAGCCCCGCTCTGATACCAAGATAAACATCAGAAGAGCTGGGACATTTTAATTAAAGCCCTGGGCTTGTTTATTGGGTGTATTGTCCATAAGCCTGCCTTGCAATGGCATAATGTGGTGTGTTATCTTTTTCCAGTTTGCCCCTCAGAATGATATGAGGGCCATCCAAGGGTTACGGTTGGCAGGTCCAGCCCTGCATTGCTAATTCAGAACATGTCTCTCCCCTGCTACCTGGGAGCCCATAGCTGGACCTGGGTGAGCACTGGGTTTTAAAATCTTTTAACTAAAGGAGAAGATGAACAAGAGATGGCGTTATAATAGCATACTCCAGATTCTTACTCATCCCAGCCAAGAAAACAGTTTCAATGTTGCTTTCTTTCACAATATGATGTACTGAGGGCGTCCTGGAAATGGAAGAGACAAGGGGATGTTCTCCATTGGACAAGGCCACAAGCAGGGGTGGGAAAAACACTGGAATGGAAGCCACAGGTGACTTGTAGCAAGTCACAGTACTTCCTGAGTTCTGCATGCCCATCTGCCCTGTGGGAGTACCCTTGTCCTAGTCCCTTTGTAAAGTTGCTGGGAGCCTCACAGAGCCATGCTTACAGTTTGAAAATTGTTAAGCCCAGGTGTAAGGTGGCATTTTTCTGTTCTGGGCAGTGGCTTATGCTTCTGATAGAAGCAGCAGAGGGAAGAGGCATGAGATGAGCATGAATGCAGTTGGTGTCTGCCTGCCCTTGTCCCAGCAGGCTCTTCTGGCATGTCTAGGGTCATGCTGCAGCTGTCTCTCCCCCAGGGGAATAACCTGAGAGGGTGCAGTGAGAGATCTGGAAAAAATAACCTCAAACTCCCTTGCCTTATGCCCTGCCCACCTAAGACTTCACTGTCCTGGAGTGGCCCCTACTCCTAAGCAGAGTGCCTTTCCCATCACTATACTTTGTCCCTCACCCTGGCACAGACACTGCATGGTGGGAGAACTGATGCTGGCCAAAGTGCTGTTGCCTGGCCCCCTCCTCCTGCGGCCAGGTGGCAGCCACAGACACTGTTTGACACTTTGCCCTCCCACCCACTGCACACAGCAGATCCTGCCCAGAAGGATGTGATGCTTGGCAAGTTCCACCACTTTCAGCGTTTGGCAGAGCTGTACCATGGCTACCATGCCATCCATCGCCACACGGTAAGATGGCTGGGTCACTGGCACCTAAGGGTACTGTCTGCTGAGCTGGGGGCCCCAGGCATGTCTAAGAACAGCAGATTAGATGGAAAGTAGCCCACTGGTCACAGTGAACTGCTGAGGAATCTTGGTCTCCTCTGGGCAGAAAAAGTTTGGTTTTCCTTGATTGACTATTTGTCTGCCATCCATCACGCAGTGGGCTTCTGAATTATAAGCCAGCGCTGGAATGGGTCTTGCTAGTTGCTCAGTGCAGGCTTTGATGACTCAGGCCAATACTGCATTAACCAGCAAGTGGGGTGGGAGTTCCTTGAGGCCCTCTTCTCCAATGAGGCAAAGGCCCAGGTTAACCAAAGGCTCAAGTTCCCTCCCTGACCCTGCCAGTGGTTCTTTGGCAAGTCACTTTCCCTCTCTGTCCCTCAGTTTCCTTCTCTGTGAAACAAGAGTGTTGGCTTGGTCTCTAGAAACTGAAGTAGTTCTTTTTAGTCACTCCCTAATTCCTTTGAGAAAGCCATTTTAAATCTGTCTGGTGGCAATGGGGAACAGGTGATGGATTGTCAACAGCCTCTTCATCCACTGTATCTCCTCAGTCACCCAACAGATGCTGAGCACTTAGTACCTAGTAGGCAATGTACTGAGGGCTTCATTGTATCAAGTCATTTCCTCCTTTCAACCACACTTTGAGGAAAGGACTGGTACCCTCATTTTACCAGATGACAGTGAGGTACTACACAGAGGGGTCTCACAGCGAGTTGGTGCAAAAGTAACTGCAGTTTAAGACTGTGAATTTTAAATCATTATAACTAGGTTGAAACACATCTTTATTAATCAAACTAGGAACCATTATGATCAACACATTTTTGCCAATGAGAAATAAGTCGATTACTGTAGCATAAAAATCCATACATCAGGATTCAGTGAACTCTTGGAAAGTATTTTCTGCATCCTGCTGGTTGTGGAAGCATTGTCCCTGCAAAAAGGTGTTAAGAGGCTTGAAGAAGTGGTAGTTGGTTGGCAAGAGGTCAAGTGAATATGGTGGATGAGGCAAAAGTTCGCAGACCAATTTATTCAACTTTCGAAGCATTGGTTATGTGACGTGCAATCAGATGTTGTTGTGGAGAAGAACTGGGCCCTTTCTGTTGACCAGTGCTGGCTGCAGGTGGTGTAGTTTTCAGTGCAGCTCCTCAATTTGCTGAGCATACTTCTCAAATGTAATCGTTTCACCAACATTCCGAAAGCTGTAGTGGATTAGCAGCAGACCACCAAACAGTGACCATGACCTTTTTTTGGTGCAAGTTTGGCTTTGGGAACTGCTTTGGAGCTGCTTCTTGGTGCAGCCACAGAGCTGGTCACCACCGGTTGTCATATAAAGTCCACTTTTTGTCGCACAGCAATCTGATTGAGAAATGGTTTTTGTTGCGTAGAATAAGAGAAGACAACACTTTAAAATGACTATTTTTTCATTTTTGATCAGCTCGTGAGGCGTCCACTTTTCGAGCTTTTTTACCTTTCCAATTTGCTTCAAATGCCAAATAACCAGAATGGTCGATGTTGAGTTAGTTGGCCACTTCTCATGTGGTTGTAAGAGGATTGGTTTTGATGATTGTTCTCAATTGGTCTTTGTCCACTACTGACGGTTGACCACTATGCTCCTCATCTTCAAGCCTCTCCTTTGCAAAACTTTTGAACCACCACTGCACTGTACATTGGTTAGCGGTTCCTGGGCCAAATGCACTATTGATGTTACAGTTGTCTCTGCTGCTTTATGACCCATTTTGAACTCGAATAAGAAAATCACTCGTTTGCATTTTGTCTAATATCATTTCCATAGTCTAAAATGAGCATAAACAGCAAGTAATAATAGCTCATTCGCAGAAAAACAAAGCGAGAAATGCCCATTGAAATGATGTATAACATAACCACCTTTAAGAATGTATTCCAGTATCAAACAGCAAATTCCAGAGCCAGTATGTGAGTCTCAACAGGCTGGCACTGGAGCTTATGTTCCTAGCCTTTCCCTCCCTCTCTCCTCTTAGAGAAAGCAGGCTAGTATGTTGATTTAGTGGGTAAACTCGAGTCCTCACACACAGATGACACCATGTTACTTATCTTCTCTGGCCTTTAGCTTCCTTCTCTATAAAACAGGCATAACAGCAGTATCTATTTGATGGGATTGTTGTGAGGATTAGACAAGTTAATATTGGAAAGACACTTAGAAGAGTACCCAGTACAGAGTGACCCTAGGTGGCAGCTATCCTTGCTGCTGCTCCAGGCAAGGCTTCACACCAGCTTTCCCTGGCCCGCTTCCTCTGGCTGGGCATCTAGCATTTCTCTTTTTTCAGAGATAAGGTCTCTGTCACCCAAGGTGGAGTGTAGTGGCATGACCATAGCTCATGGCAGCCTCAAACTGCTGGACTCAAGTGATCCTCCTGCATAAGCCTCCCAGAGCACTGGGATTACAGGAGTGAGCCACCACACCCAGCCTTCTTGCAGCTCTTTGACCTCTCAAATGCCCTGCCTTTCACCCTGGGCACTTCTTTCCCTCTAATCTGTGTTGACCTCTCACAGCATATTTTTTGCATCTTGGGAAGGTCTGGCAAGAAGAACTCCTCTGACAGGCTCTGTGCAGGCCAACCATCAATCTAGTGTCACATCCCTACCCACAGCAAGGTCAGTGGTCTCAAGGGACCTCATCTTCCCTTACAGTCTTTGCCTTTCAAAACAAGACCCCCTCAGGGTTCCTAATCTCTATCAAGTGCTCACCTGGAGAGAAGCTACCACAAAAGGAGCCCAGACTCAACTTAGGCTAGAAGTCAGGGCCCAGCTCAGCCTCAGTTTGCCTAAGCCACTCCAGAGCCTGACTCTCAGCTCCTTCCCTCAGACTTTTCTTTTTCTTTTTTTCTTTTTTTTTTTTTTTTTAAGATGGGGTTTCTCCATGATGGCCAGGCTGGTCTTGAACTCCTGACCTCAGGTGATCCACCCACCATGGCCTCCCAAAGTGCTAGGATTACAGGCGTGAGCCACTGCGCCCGGCTCCCCCAGACTTTTCTCCTGCTGTTCCCTGTCCTCTTCCTCACCTGGGGCATGAGGCTGAGGGCTCCTCTCTGTAACAGCTGTGCTCTGCTCCAGGACCTACATGGGGCTTGGAGCTAAGGGGCCTCAGACCAGCTGGGGCCCTGGCTCTTAGCTGAATCTTCTTCATTGGGTCATTCCTTCATTCAACAAATGCCTACTGTGTGACAGACCCTTTGATGAGACCTGGCAACGTAGTGGTGAACAAAACGTTGTCCCTGCAGTCAGTCCTAGTCTAGCAAACAAAACAGTCCCTCAAGGGAAAAGCTTAGAGGCCTGTAAAGAGACTTCCTGGAGGAGGTGGCCCCTCAGCCAGCGGAAGGAGACAAGTGAAAATGGGGCAAGTGAAGTGGAGGAGGAGAAGGAAAGGTATTGTGGCAAAGGTCACAGCCTGTGCAAAGGCCTGGAGGTGAGTGGTAGTTTGTGGTTCAGCATCCAGGGCCCAGCAGAGCAGCACTGATTCAGGGCAAGACTAGAAAGGGAAGTTTCAGGTCCTTCCTGGATACATAGCTTCTTTCCCAGAGGAAAGGACTCCCCTCCTACCTGTTCTCTCTGGGACATTACTTAGCTTCCCTACCTAGTGCAATAGAACCAGAGGCAGACCTCATCCTGGTTCTTAGCCTGTAAAGGATGTAATCTCAGGTTTTCTTGGGTTCTTGGAGCTAACAGAAGCTATAGAAATTTAAGTGGGAATTACAGAGAAAATGCTAAGCTCTGAACTGAAGAAGTATAGAGCAAAGTGAGTCCTCAGAGTGTAGACCAATTAGGGGAAGCTTTGGTGGCTCAGTGATGACTAGAGCCTCACAAGACCCTTCAGGAAATGTCAGTTTATTACCATGTAAGTGCTCACAAGAAAGAGGAGTGGCTAGGCTGTTTTAATCCTCACCATCTAAAGCCTTATTAGAAATCGACAGTCTCAGTTTATAGACAGTTTGCCACATGCCTTCAAAATAAGTTCTTAACCTTTTATAGACCCCACATAGAAAATTTCCTATTTGTCTGCTGAGCTTCTGGCAGCCTCTAGGTACAGAAGACTAATCAGTCCACTCATGTGTGCTAAGCACCTTCTGTTGAGGCCTATGCCAGGAGCCAGGGAAATGGGTCAGCAGTTGAGGAACTCCACATGTGTGCTCGTTTGGTGGCACATCAGCCAGGCTGCTGTTGGAAAGCACAGAAGAGGCCTGTGGGTTCATGTTGAAGAGGGCTAAGTGCCTCTGTTTAAAGACAGGCTTATATGGATCAGGGGTCATGTCCTCAGTCACACAGAAAGTCCTCTCTTTTAGAGCTAAGTGGAGATAACTTGAGTTCAGTGAAATGGAATCATTACTAACTCCAGAGGCAGTACAGCTTGGAAGACATTCTTGGGCTTTGGATTCAGACCTGTGTTTGAAGCGCAGCTCAGCTCTGTTCTAGTTGGTGACTTGGGCAAATCATCTATCTAGGTGTCAGTTTTCTCATCAGTACTATGAGGATAAAAATGCATGCCACAAGGTTATGTCTCATCAGATGAGACAGTGGCTATATGGTGCCCAGCACACAGTAGGTGCTCAATAATCAGGGTCACTGTTGTTGATGTCACTCAGAATTACTGGTGTCTGCCTTCTGGCCTAGCCCAGCAGCAGCTCAGTTGAGGTACTCAATTTCTGTTTGCTTTTCTCTCACTGCAGGAGGATCCATTCAGTGTCCATGGGCCTGAAACTCTTTTCAACATCTCCAGGTTCCTGCTGCACAGCCTGCCCAAGGACACCCCCTCGGGCATCTCTAAAGTGTATCCTTTCTCTTACCCCTCCCCCATCCCATCCCACTTGTCTGATGGCCCCAAGAAGTTCCTTCTAGAGCACTTTCCTGGCAGAACCTTCCTCTCTTAGCAGCCCTCAAGAGAAGAGAGAGAACTCACCCTCCCTCTGCTGTTTGGCTGTAGAGGCTCAGCAGGGAGGCCCAGGGGCCTGGGCCAAGAGAAGAAGAGTTTTCAGGGCTCTCTGAGCTGAGCCCAGCAATAGATCTCTGGCCAACACACTGTCCCAGTCCCTCCTACAACTCACAGATGAGAGAGTGATTGTAATGGAAGAAGCACCAGGCCTTCGGGCTTGGAATCTTGGGCACTTCCTCAGACTGGGGAGCAAGGAGCGTTTGTTCAGCCCAGGTATACAGAGCAGCTGCTGTTCCCCCATCCCCAGGCCAGGTACCAGGTGACAAAGCTGCCATCAAGGGAGGAGGTCACAAGTTAGAGCCTGGTCTGGTGGATGTGCGCTGTGTCTCAGGGTGGAATGAGGCTGAGATCAGGGCCATGCTCAGGGAAGGCTACTTGGAAGAGGTGCTGTCTGTCATGCAGGCCAAGGCAGCCAGGGAAGATGGCCAAGTGGATGTTCCAGGGGAGAGCCCAGGATGTAGAGGGGCAAGCGAGGTATGTGGGAGGAGGTGAGGGGCCCTGAGGGAGAGGGGCTGGAGAGGCAGCAGGGCCCGAGGCCTGAGGGCCTACCTTTGGGTTTGCCTCTCCTTCTATAGCCAGTGAGGGCCACAGTGGGGCCATAAACAGAACAGGGTCCTGAAGGGACTGTGCAGTCAGATACTGGATCATTACCAGTGATCCAGATCTTTAAGGTCTTAGATGTCATGAGACATAATTGTCCCTGTTATTTTCTAAACCTCACTGTACCCTCAGCTCCTTCCCAGCCCCAGCCCCGCCTGCCCGCTGTAAGGAAAACCCACTCCACTGGAGAAGGCCCAGAGCTGCTTGTTGTAAGATTTGGCATCTCTGGGGGATTCCAGGCCCATCGTTTACATTTCAGGGGAAACACCCCCAAATCAAGGGGTGCCTTCCTAGAGTAACACCCCAGCTGCAGGCATCTCCGTCTTGCCCCACAGGAGCAGTCAGGGCCATGCCTGCGGGGGCTGAGCACCTGTACCCATCGTTTCTAGCAAGTTCAGTTTGAGTCAACAGCTTGATGGAACCCCTGCACTAAGCCTCACCCTGTGCCATCCCCTGGGGACCTGGAAATGACTCCTGACAGTCCCTGACTTTGAGGCATGATGGAGACAGAAGGACACTCTCCACAGAACTGCTGAAGTGGACGGGGCTACACTGCAGAGGGCAGGAGCAGGAGCACTGGGAGGGAGGTGGGGAGGAAGGGTAGGAGGGCCTGGGCACAGCCGGCATCGGAGGTGACCTGAGAGGAGAGCACAAAGGCCCAGCCTCTGGCCGAGGAGCTTCGAGGCTGCGACTCAGAAACCGCCCACAAGGCCTTCGGGGGAAGGACGGGCAGGCAGAGGGATGCACCCAGGGGCCTCAGTAGAGCAGGGCTGAGGGTGTCTCCCCAGGGAGTCTGGGACCAGGCCCCACCTGGCAGGGCGAAAGCAGAGTGCCCTTGGTGCCAGGCGTCCTAGGAAGGCCTGGCTAGCAGGCTCAGTGAGGCAGGAAGAGCCATTTTGGCCTAGTCAGGGTACAAAACGAGCCACCAGCAGGCCCAGAGATGCTAAGCAAGGTTAAAGTATTAATGGAAACTACACTGTCTTTATCTCTGGAAAAATCCCTGGGCCTTCCTGTCCGAGAAATACACTCACCTCTCACAAATGCACAGAGCCTTCCTCACGCTCTATCCTGTGCCCTCCTGGCACCAGCAAGAGCTGTGTTCCAGTCTAGGGCTCACTCCAAGGATAGGCAGTCTCAGCTCCTGGGCCTGGTGCTACCCCTGCTATCCTTAACCCTGTTCACGGCAGGAAAATACTCTTCACCCTGGCTAAGCAGAGCAAGGCCCTGGGCGCGTACAGGCTGGCCCGACACGCCTATGACAAGCTGCGAGGCCTGTGTATCCCCGCCAGATTCCAAAAGTCCATCGAGCTGGGTACCCTGACCATCCGCGCCAAGCCATTCCACGACAGTGAGGTGAGGACACAGCACCCTTGGGCAGATGGCTTCTCCTCCGCTCCGCTGAGGCCATCTCATGACCACTAGCCTGGCCTGGGTTCCGTTTGAAGACAGAGGCTGCAGCTCCCTCCGTTTGAAGAGAGAGCTCCCTCTGAGGGCTCTGTGCCCTCAGCTCAAGCCTGGTTATGCCAGCTCCCCTGTGCTTCCCTGTCCACCCCCTGTTCTCCTTGCAGCCCACTGTGCGCCAGCCCCAGCCCGGCCTCCCTTGCTTCTTGCTCTCCCCTAGGCAAGCCCTGCACCTCCGTGCCCAAGTGGCTCTGCCTTTACCCCAAGCCTGGCTGCAGGGCTGACTCTCACTCTAGAAACCCCTGCCCTTTCTGTGGTTCTCCAGCAAATCCACCCTATGTTCTCTGCAGCCCAGGTCTGTGCCCAGCCCCCATTCCTTCAACCCAGCCAGCTGCTTTCTTTCACAGCCCCTCCCTCAAGCTCAGAGCAAGGACTGCATCAGAAAGACCTGGGTTCACATCCTAGCTCCACACTTTCCTACCTCTGTCTCCACCTTTCTGCCCTTTGGTTTCCCCCTTTCCCACAGGTAGTTGTGAGGCTAAATTAGTCAGCACAAGCCACATGCTCTGCACAGTGCCTGGAGCATGATAAGTGGCTGGCCAAAGGTGGCAAGTCACTTTCATTCCTGCCAGGGGAAAGAGTTCTGCTGAGTGCTGTCTGTAGAGGTGTCTTGGGCAGGGGGCCCCAAGTGACAGGGCTTGGGTATTGGCAGGCCTTTATCCTACTTCCCTATAGCATGGAGCCCCCAGGCCCAGCGCCCCCTCCCTGCCTGCCCACCTGGGTGGCCTTTCCTCTCGGCAGCCAGGCCCCAGGGGGAAGAGGACACATGCCTGCCCCAGCCTGGCCCCTCCGGAGTCCGTGGCTGTTTTGTAGGAGCTGGTGCCCTTGTGCTACCGCTGCTCCACCAACAACCCGCTGCTCAACAACCTGGGCAACGTCTGCATCAACTGCCGCCAGCCCTTTGTCTTCTCTGCCTCTTCCTATGGTGAGTCCCTGCATCCTGGGCACTTGGGCGGGACAGCCTGTGGACAGCGAGGCTCACTCTACTGCTTGCGGCCCTCATGACATTGGGCAAGGCCCAAAGGCCTCTGAACGTCCCTGTTTGTGAAATGAGGACACTCTTGACGCCCACCTGCTTAACATAGAGTCACTGTCGGTGTTCCCAGAGATAGGACCCACTGCTGCCCAAAGCTGAAGCACCCACTCTGGGAACCTGGCGCAAGGCTTTGCATAACGAAATGCCCCAGGACAAGAGGCCAATGGCTTTACATTCAGACCAAGAGGCTGAGATGGGTTTTCAACGCTCAGCTCCTTTGATGTTGACGGGATCAGAAGCCCCTTCCCAGGAGCTGAACAGAGGCCACAGACACATACAGAGAGACTGCCCCTGCACACACACAGAGACTACCCCTGGACACACACAAACAGACTACCCCAGTGCGCACACACACAGAGACTACCCCAGCACACACACAGACCACCCCTGGTCACACACACACAGA